AAACAGCTGGAGAAATGTAGAGAAAAGCTCGATGTCTAGAGAGATGAAGGACAGCAAGGTAGGGAGAGGGGCAGCTCCTCCGACAGAGAGTGGGGGAGAGAAGCGGGGATTTGGAGCCAGGACAGACAGCAGCGTGGTGCTGGGACAGCAAGAGGGGGCAGCCGGTGACAAGGAGAGCAGAGGGAGAACCACAGCAGGGGGAGACCTGGGATCTGGGGGTGCCAGAGAGTGGGGACAAGGAGGTGAGACAGGCAAGAGGGGATTTAACAGAGAGAGCAGAGATAAGGGAAGAAAGAGGCAAAAATATATGGAAATTGGGGACAACCAAAAGATTGGGGTGAAAGAGGAATAAGAAGTGAAACAGGTTGCAAGAATGGAGCAGAACAGGTGGAAGAGAAGGAATAGAGGGAAGGAGAAACAGCAGGAAAGGAGAAGGGCTCAAAATGAGGAGCAGCGACCCAGGCTGAAACACAGACAAGAAAAAAAGCCAGAGAGAGAAGAAGAGAATGAGAGATGTACAGAATGAGGGAGGAAACACACAGGAAGGAAGAAAGAGGGGGACTTTGGCCCAGATGCATGGTGGTTTCATTGGGTATGGATAATTACATCGTGATATATTGATTTCTGTGTCCATAATCTAACAATTTTTTTTTTTTTTCTTGAGACAGAGTCTCTATTGCCCAGGGTGGAGTGCAATGGCATGATCTCAGCTCACTGTAACTCCGCCTCCCGTGTTCAAGCGATTCTTGGGCCTCAGCCTCCCGAGTAGCTGGGATTACAGGCATGCACCACCACACCTGGCTAACTTTTGTAATTTTAGTAGAGATGGGGTTTCACTATGTTGACCAGGCTGGTCTCGAACTCCTGACCTCAGGTGATCCACCCACCTCAGCCTCCCAAAGTGCTGGGATTACAGGTGTGAGCTACTGTGCCCGGCCCCTAATAATCTAACTAATTTGGCCGGGCGCGGTGGCTCAAGCCTGTAATCCCAGCACTTTGGGAGGCCGAGGCGGGTGGATCACGAGGTCAGGAGATCGAGACCATCCTGGCTAACATGGTGAAACCCCGTCTCTACTAAAAATACAAAAAACTAGCCGGGCGTGGTGGCGGGCGCCTGTAGTCCCAGCTACTCGGAGGCTGAGGCAGGAGAATGGCGTGAACCTGGGAGGCGGAGCTTGCGGAGCTTGCAGTGAGCCGAGACCACGCCACTGCACTCCAGCCTGGGTGACACAGCAGGAGACTCCATCTCAAAAAAAAAAAAAAAAATAATAATAATAATAATAATCTAACTAATTTTATATGTATATATTTTGTTTCTGTTGTGGAGATGCTGGTGAGAATTGCAAAAGTCCTGTCTGTGAGACATGTGCATTTTATAATTCCTGGCATCAGAGGTTAGCTTCTATTTGCAATCTCTATTCTACCAGAGGGCAGTGACTTGACTCATTCAGTTGTCCGTCACTCTCTTTCCTTTTCCTAGGATGGGGTAATATGTAGGCAAGTGTATGAATGAGGAGGAAAAACGAAAGTATTTTTCCTCCCCTCATAATCAGCTAATGAACACTAAACAAAGAATGCATCGCCTCTCGTCACCAAAATGTGTGGGGTGGGGATTTCTCCCCACCAACACACAATTCTTCAACAGACACTACCTGACTGTCCTATAATTTAATTCAATTCGGACACTATCTACCCAGAGTTAGCATTAGATCCCACTAGTTGAGGGTTCCCACTTCAGATGCCAGCCCCAAGTCCCAGATTTTGAGCTTCGGACCCATTGAGTATAAATTGGGGATTCTCCTTATCCCTTCCTGAGGTGCTATTATTTGCCAGAGCAGCTTGTAGAACTCAGGGAAACATTTTCCTTGGTTTACCCCGTTGTTTTTTGTTTGTTTGTTTGTTTGTTTTTGAGATGGAGTCTTGCTCTGTCACCCAGGCTGGAGTGCAATGGCACGATCTCGGTTCACTGTAACCTCCGCTTCCCGGGCTCAGCAATTCTCCTGCCTCAGCCTCCCAGGTAGCTGGGATTGCAGGCATCCGCCACCATGCCCGGGTAATTTTTGTATTTTTAGTAGAGAAGGGGGTTCACCATGTTGGCCAGGCTAGTCTTGAACTCCTGATCTCAGGTAACCCACCCACCTTGGCCTCCCAAAGTGCTGGGATTACAGGCATGAGCTACCGCGCCCAGCCTACCCAACTGTTATAAAGGATACTACAAATCATATAGATGAATGGTTTTAGCAAGTTAATTGAATCCAAGGAAGGGGTTAAGAGAATGACGGTATTTATCTGGTGAGAGTGTAGCCAAGAGTTACTACTAGCATATAGCACACTGAGATCTTCACCTGGGAGATCTGACAGTGTCAGAGTGGGGTGAAATTGTACGACCCCCCCACCCCCACCCCTGGGAGTCCACTGCAGAACTGGTCATTGTGGGAAAAACTACACACATTTCGGTGACTGCAGGTGAAGTATTCTGGGTTGAGTGTGACAATAGTATGAACAGGTTGATTTTTTCCTGTCTCAAACAGTAAAGGGAAGAGCTCTCCAACAGGCCCACCTACCTGTCTTTTTTTTTTTTTTTTTTTTTTTTGGACGAGTCTCGTCTGTTGCCAAGCTGGAGTGCAGTGGCCGATCTCAGCTCACTGCAGCCCGCTCCGGGTTCCGCCTCCGCCTCAGCTCCGATAGCTGGACTACGGCGCCCGCCACCTCGCCGGCTAGTTTTTGTATTTTTAGTAGAGATGGGTTCACCGGTTAGCCAGGATGTCTCGACTCCTGACCTCGTGATCCCCACTCAGCCCCAAGTGCTGGGACAGCTGAGCCACCGCCCCCCCCCTACCTGTCTTAAGGCCTGCGATCTCAACTCAGTAGGTACTGGGAATGGACTGTCCCTGCTCCAGGCTGTTGCTGGTTCTTCAGTTGTGCACACAGTCTCAGGACGGTGGCACTCCCTCCTCCACTGCATCAACTTTTACTTCAAGGGAGTTATTTTGATGAGCATATCCAGATTAGTGGTCTTGTCTATTCACACACACACACACACACACACACACACACAGGCCCGTACCAACACACGTGACTAAATTTTGTACCTTTTTTAGAGATGGGGTTTTGCCATGTTGCCCAGGCTGGTCTCAAACTCCTGAGCTCAAGCATGAAGCAGTCCACCCACCTGTGCCTCCCAAAATGCTGAGATTACAGGCAAGAGCCACTGCACCCAGCCTCAACATTCTTTGGAGGTGGGAAAAAAATTGTTTGAAGACCTCAGCCCTGCCTGACCTGCTCCCCTAGCACCTCTCTGACCTCATCTCCTGCCCGCGTCCTCCTCGCTCCCTCTGCTCCAGCCACTCAGGCCCCTTTCCTTTTCTGGGGTGCCCAAGTTGCTCCTGCCTCAGGGCCTTCACATGGGTGGTCCCTGTGCCTAGGACTCTGGCCCCTCAGCTGCAGGTGCAAACACCCTTCCTAACCCAGGTGTTTGTTCTGATAGCACTTCCTCAATGGGGGCTTCTGTGACCCTCTCCCTGACCCCCGCTTCCGCATTCCATCTCCACCCCCAGCCTCACCTCTGGTCCACAGTGGCTGTTCTGCATGTTTCTCTGTCTGCTTCACCTTCCACTGTCTGGATCCTGGTGACAACAAGGCCCCCAGGGAGAGTAGAGCCAGAAGGTGGGGGGCTGTGCTGGGCTTGGCCCCTCTCAGCGGAGCTCAAGAACGCTGAGGCATTTTGCGATTACATCTCTTATGCCCCCTTAGCAGAGATTTTCATTCAAGTAAGTTGCAGCCCAGCTTCAATGACATTTAAGATTGGTTCTATTCTGTTATTCTGTATCTACCACTGAGCACCAGGGCACTGCTGCTCGTTTCTGAAGGCTGAGATCAGCCTGTGATCCACAGAGGGGAGCGGGGCTGTGCTTTGCATGGGGTTTGGTCAGGGCTGGGTCTGTGCCCTGAACGGAAGCTCGTTCCAGCTCAGCTCCCCACTGCTGCAGCCTGTGTGCGGGCCTCTCCAGGCGGGGAGCAGATTCTAAAGAAAGAGGTCAGAAACTCACTTGCTTTTCCTGTAGGAGTTTCTTAGCCCTGCATCTTTTCTGGTGCAGTGGGCGGCAGAGGACCATCTTTCCACAGAGTAAGGTCTTCCCTGTGTATGAGGTTATGGCACAGGAGGGGGTGTGTTGATTCTAACCAATAAACAGCATAGTTTTGACATTCAGGATTGAATTCTAAAGTCTCTTTCATGTTACCCAAGGCAGAACCCTGGAAGAAGAGGAAGAGGAAAGCAGAGGAGTCAGGGATGGCTCCTCCTCAGGCGAGATGATATTCTCGGTGGATTGTTGTGTCTCCTTCCTTTCAGAAACGCTGGGCCTTGGAGTTGGGAATCTTCTGTGAGTCTGAAGCGTCCTGCCTGACAGGTTTGCTCACACTCACCCGTGCCTTCCCTCAGTCCCTCTCATCGCGCTTAGATTCCATCTCTCGTGACCCAGTGACATGAACTTGGGAAGAGGCGGCACTGGGCATCGTCGTCCTGGGAAGGGCTCACACCAGACATGGATGGAGATGGGGTGAGGGCCCCGTGGTGTCAGTGCTGTTGGGCAACGCAGATTGTTCAGGCCATATTTGAATATATTGCCAGCTCTGTGTAAATTCTGATAAGAGAAGCTGGTTATGAAGGCAGATGTTACTGTGCACAAGCACTCACGAAATGCTGTAAAATGAGACCACTGTGGGGAAAGCTTTGTAGCCTCATTTATATTGCATTTGATGCCGAACAAGTGAGTCACTGTGTTTATCTGACTCCAAACTCCTTTTTTGTTTGTTTGTTTAGACAGAGTCTTGCTCTGTTGCCTAGGCTGGAGTGCAGTGACGCAATCTCAGCTCACTGCAACCTCTGCCTCCTAGATTCAAGTGATTCTCTTGCCATGGCCTCCCGAGTAGCTGGGACTACAGGCGTGCATCACCATGCCTGGCTATTTTTTTGTATTTTTAATAGAGATGGGGTTTCACCATGTTGCCCAGGCCGGTCTCCAACTCGTGAGCTCAAGCGATGCACCCGCCTCGGCCTCCCAAAATGCTGGGATTACAGGCGTGAACCACTGCTCCCGGCCTTCATTACTTATATTCAACCAAGAGAGAAACTTATCCCTCAGCCAGCGCCCTGAAAAGACAGAATATGGATGAATGTTTTCATACTTTTCCTCTTCCAGGAGAAATGGGAAATTGGTGTTTTTCTTGCAGTGACACTGCATCATGCCAGGGTAAGGCCACTGTGAGCAGATGTCCTGTATTTTTCTACTAGACTTCTGTTAAGAGTTCCAACCTCTTAAATGGTTACTGGATTTCTCACAAAGGCAATTGGTTCATATATTGTTACTAAATTTGTGTCTCCATGGTGGAGGTAGTGTTTGGGAGTTCCTATTCCTCTATTTTATTGACATCATCACTTTAGTACAGTTTTATAATTTCTTTAAATAGGTGTGGAAATGTATTTTAATAGGTAGCATTGTATCATTCCTAATGTACTCGTGAGATGCGTTGTATGTTTAATGAGAGCTGCTAAAGAAAGAATGAAGATTGTTTTCACAGTGTTGTTATTAGTTCTTATACTTCAATGCATTCTTTTCCTAGGTTGTGAGTATGTCATCTGTTAGTTTTAACAGGTCTAGCTCCTACTTTACCATTTTCTTGGTCTCAGCTCAGGCATGCTCTGAAGTGGGCTTTAGCTGGAGCCCTGGTGAGCCCTATTTTCTCCTTTTTTATTTTTGATACAAGGTCCGGCCCCGTCGCCCAGTCTGGAGTGCAGTGGTGCAATCTCGGCTCACGGCAGCCTCCACCACCTGGGCTCAAGCCAACCTCCTACCTCAGCCTCTCAAGTAGCTGGGACTACACGTGCATGCCACCACACCCAGCTAATTTTTATATTTTTTGTAAAGATGGGGGTCTCGCTATTTTGCCCAGGATCATCTTGAATTCCTGAGCTCAAGCAATCCACCCGCCTTGGCCTCCCAAAGTGTTAGGATTACAGGCATGAGCCATCGCGCCCAGCCCATTTTCTCCATTTTAATTTAGAGCAAATGCATCCAGCATTTACTGCTTGATTATGTGTTTGGTGAAATTTTCTTGTTTAATATTAGCTTTTGGGTGTTTTTCAAATTTCCTTTTTGAACCAATTTTTAATTATCCAATAATTTCTTTGAGTAAATATCGTTGCAATATATACTTCTTAAGTCTATTAAATTAATGTATGATATTAAAAAATGTCCTAACCTTATGTTATGATTTCATGAGTAAAATAAACTAAAACCTCCATTGGGCTTTTGTTAATGCCTAAATATCTAAATTTAACTGGAAAAAATGGTATCAGTATTTTTAATAATTGTATTTAATACCAATTGGAGTACAAGTTCTTACATATTTTTGTTTTAGCATTTTTACAGCTTAACTTACAAAAATGTTTATAAACTAAATTAAGTACAATTCATGCATTTTAATTGTCCCAGACTTTCTGAAATGCACATGAGCAAAAAAGACAACTAAAGATATCATCAAAAACAAATACATCGTTGAGACACATCTCCTTATTTCACTTAATTTAACTGGTATATGTGATGTGCGCACATGAATATGTAGATGCATACGCCCATGGTTTTATAAAAGACGTACCATGATTTAAATAAATTGTATGTGTTTTATCATTTGAAATCATATTTTAAATATTTTTATGGCCTTAACTTTGTTCTCTGCTGCCTTTTTTTTTTTTTTTTTTGAGATGGAGTTTCACTCTTTCACCCAGGCTGGAGTGAAGGAGCACAATCTTGGCTCACTGCAACTTCCCCCTCTTAGGTTCAAGCAATTCTCCTGCCTCAGCCTCCCAAGTACCTGGGATTACAGGTGTCCGCCACCACACCTGGCTAATTTTTGTATTTTTAGTAGAGATGGGGTTTTCCATGTTGGCCAGGCTGGTCTCGAACTCCTGACCTCAGGTGATCCATCTGACTCGGCCTCCCAAAGTGCTGGGATTACAAGTGTGAGCCATCGCATCCGGCCTGTTCTCCACTATGTATTAATGAACTAATAGGATAGTAACATATGGGCATAAATGCGTTTGTGTATATGATGACCTTTGGTGAAGTTCCATATTGTTAGCCTTGAACTTGTTTCAGTTTTTCTCAGTTAGGTGACCTCGTGTCAATTTACTTTTGGAGTGTTTAGTTAAAACAACTCAAACACCATGTTTCCCTCTGCTCTCACACCAACACCACAATCCACACAGAAGACTTCTGTGGCCACATGTGAGGGATTTCTCCCCACCAACAAACAGAGAGCAACCAACTGGCTGTCCTCCAGTTCAGTTCCAACACTTGTCTGCATGAAGATAGTGTCACATCTCACAGATTGATGGCTCAGTTCCCAATTGCACGTCCAGGCCTCTGAAACTTCTGACCGACCAACCTCAAGTTGAGGTTCCCATGAACCCTTCTTTAATTTGCTGGAGCAACTCTTAGAGGTCAGAGAAACACTCAGTTTTACAGGTTGATTATAAATACTATTACAGAAGATACCAGTGAAGAGATGCATAAGGTGAGGTATGGGGAAAGGGGTGCAGAGCTTCCCTGCCCTCCCTGGGTATGCCGTCCTCCAGGAACCTCCACGTGTCAGCCATCTGGAAGCTCCCCAAACCCACTGCACTCCAGCCTGGGTGACAAAGCAAAACTCCGTCTCCAAAAAAACAACAAAAAAAGAAATTTACATATTTCTACAAAACTCATAGCCACTTTTATCTTTATTTTCTCTTTTGATTCTACCCAAATTTCCAGTGACAAAGTCCCGAATTCAGTGCTGAAATTAGGCTTTTACATGTGCTTTCTTCTATAAGTGTGACATTGTAATAAAAGAAGTGGTTTGTTGTCCTTGATAATCTCATTTGGCTCCTGTGTAGTTCTTTGAGATAATTCCCTTGCTAGCTGGTTGTTTTACAAATGTGTACAAACTATATTATACTACTTTATGCAAACTATATTATACTACTTTATGCAAACTATATTATACTACATTATGCAAACTACATTATACTACTTTATGCAAAGAGACAGACGCTAGTTTTTACTATATCTTTTTAGGACTTTTTATTCTGTTTTCAGTTTAAATTTGCTTACCCCTGAGATTTTAAAGTCTCTTTCTTCATAAAACACTATTTGAACTGGAATATATTAACACATTCTGTGGCCAGTTTTGCTCGACATTATTTTACCCTTCATTCTCTAACATTCTCTCATTTCTTGTACTTCTTTATTTATTTGTATTTGTTTATTTTTCCTTTTATTATTATTTTTACTTTTTTGTAGAAACAAGGTCTTGCTATGTTGCCCAGGCTGGTCTCAAACTCCTGAGTTCAAACAATATGCCTGCCTTGACCTCCCAAAGTACTGGGACTACAGGCATGAACCACCATGCCCGGCCAACTTCTTTATTTTTTAAACCTCGTTTTCACAGTAGTTGAGAGGATTTCAGCCACAGTGTAGCATCTTAAAGACTGGGAAAATTCTTTCCTAGCCAGTTTAATGACCAAGAAACTATTCAGACCAATCTACATGTCAGTCATTCACAGTAGAATGGTAAACTAAAGAGCTGTGGGCAGCTGCTGATACATGTTGCACAAAAGGATGTTGGGAATCTCTTAGACATTGGTACCCGTTACTCGGGTACTCGGCCTCTCATTATATAAATGAATTCTTCCAAAATGACTTCCCTTTCAGAACCTTGGACAGATATATTGACTCCTTTGTGCTGATCTCAAGACACTGAGATTCTAAAATGAAAACTCTGAAGGCGCTTGACTATGTAGCCTTCCTTAATGCTTTAGGATTCCAAACCACCTACTTACTCTCTTTGGAAGATTATTCAGGGCTTTGTGAGCTGCTCTTTCAGGTAGCTTGCCTGTTGCTTAACTGATTGCTTAGGTTTAATTTTAATTCCCAGATACCTGGGTATAGGTACTTGCTCTGTCATTTTTAGCTCTTTGACCTGAGACAAGTTTCTCGGTGTGTCTGTGAAACAGCTGTCCCACAGTAAAATGGGAGCAGATCTTTCTCTCATGGGCTACAGTGTTGTACGTGTTAGTACACATAAAGGATTTAAAATGCTACCTCGCATACGGACCTTGTTTTTAAATCCCTATCATTGCTATTGCTCTCATCATAGTTTTAAAACTCTGACTTGTTTTTTCTTCAAAGCCACTGTGGATGTTGTCATCCTTGAAGACACCACTCATTCTCTAGGTCATCTAGATGCTGAATATTACTTGATGTATCAGACATAATATCTATCTAAAGCTGGTAGAGATGAACTTGTGCTGGGCTTTTTTCTTTTGTTTTGGTTGTCCCCCTGTTGCCCGGGCTGGAGTGCAGTGGCACCATCTTGGCTCACGGCCACCTCTGCCTCCCAGGTTCAAGCAATTTCCGGCTAATTTTTGTATTTTTCGTAGAGACAGGGTTTCACCATGTTGGCCAGGTTGGTCTCGAACTTCTGACCTCAAGTGATTCCCCCACCTTGACCTCCCAAAGTGCTAGGATTACAGGCATGAGTGAGCCACTGCGCCCAGCCGATTTTGTATCTGTATATTTATTTATTGTCCACAAAACAGAAATCCACACTAATTTAGAGGATATCATAACCTCTTAGGGAAAAGAATAATAAAACAGGATTAAGCAGACATAACTTGCTCAAGTAAACCTTAGTGTGTGAGAATATAGGGAAAAACTGATTCAGTTTTTTTTTTTTTTTTTTTTTTTTTGAGATAGAGTCTCGCTCTGTTGCCCAGGCTGGGGTGCAATGGCGTGATCTTGGCTCACCACAACTTCCACCTCCCAGGTTCAAATGATCCTCCCGCTTCAGCTCCTGAGTAACTGGGATTACTGGTGCCCACCACCATGCCTGGCTATTTTTGTATTTTTAGTAGACACGAGGTTTCGCCACATCGTCCAGGCTGGTCTTGAACTCCTGACCTCAGGTGATCCACCCGCCTCGGCCTCTCAAAGTGCTGGGATTACAGGCATGAGTCACCGTGTCCAGCTGGATACAGTTTCTTCTACTACTTGCAACACAGAGTGCTTCTGTTCTCCCAGATGTGTTGGGTTTTCCATCACATCAATCAAGCAATTCTGCAGTGGACGTGACCTGGGTGTCCTCCCATTCAGTTCAATTCTGACGCTGTCTGGATATAGCATCACATCCCACAGGTATAGGGCTCAGTCCCACAAGGGTGCAGCCACCTCAATGCCATTCACAAACACAGGTTGTGGCTTGGGTTTCTCGCTAACCGGCTTAAGTTGTAAATTCTCATGACCTCTTCGTTGGGATCAATTAACTTGTTACAGTGGCTCACAGAACTCAGGGAAACACTTGATTCATATTGATTCATTTATTGCTCAGGATATAACAAAGAATGCAGATGGAAGCGATCTATTGGGTGACATAGGGAGGAGCTCTGAGCTTCCATGCCCTCTGTGGGTGCACCACTCAAGAGGCCTCCATGTTATCATCTGTCCCAAATGCTCCTCAGAACCTTAATTTTTTGCATTTTTATGGAAGCTTCATTACATAGGCATGACTGTTTACATTATTGGCCATAGATGTTCAACTGAAACTTCAGCCCTTCTTCCCTTTTGCAGTGTTGGAGATTGAGCCTGGAAGTCCCAACCCTGTAATCTTTTATTTATTTATTTATTTTTATTTTTATTTATTTATTTTGAGACAGAGTCTCATTCTGTCATCCAGGCTGGAGTGTAGTGGCGTGATCTCAGCTCACTGCAACATCTGCCTCCCAGGTTGAAGTGATTCTCCTGCCTCAGCCTCCTGAGTAGCTGGGATCACAGGTGCGTGCCACCATGCCCAGCTAATTTTTGTATTTTTAGTAGAGACAGGGTTTCACCGTGTTGGCCAGGCCTGTCTCGAACTCCTGACCTCAAGTGATCCACTGGCTTCGGCCTCCCAAAGTGCTGGGATTACAGACGTGAGCCATGGCGCCTGGCCTAACCCTGTAATCTTGTCTTGGTCTTTCCAGTGTCCGGCCCACACCGTGAAGCTATCTGGCGGCCTTCAGCCACCAGTTAGTCTCACTGACGTACAAAAAGATACTTATCACCTCACAGATTTCAAGTGAGCTCTTTTCAGGAAAAGGGATGAAGATCAAATCTGTATGTACCATGATCACAGCCTGGATGTGTCAGTCTGCTTACTTGAATTGAACCTATTTTTACAGCTCTCTCCTCTTCTCGTTTTATGTGAAGATTCAAATTTGCCTCATAGTCACTTGGTGAAATGTGTTTTTCATTTTAGGGACAGTTGACACTCAAGGATGTGGCCATAGAATTCTCTCAGGAGGAGTGGACATACCTGGACCCTGCTCAGAAGACTTTGTACAGGGACGTCATGTTGGAGAACTACAGGAACCTGGTCTCACTGGGTAAGGATGACTTTCTTTTAGAAGTCAAGGTCTGTTCTTGTGTATGTTTTCATTTTCCCTTGTGAGTCTCTTGAGAGCCCCTGCATTCCTCGATGAGGATTGATGACCTGTTGACTCAGAAATGAAAAGCCTGATCATGCAAAATCTGGACTTTAATCTTGCCGTTTCTTGAGATGGTCTGCCCACTTTGTGGAGAGTTTTAGAGCTTTGTATGCATAATACCTTGTACCAGATTTAAAATGTTTGATTTTCTGTTTTTTACTTCTGTGCTTTTGATTTAGTGGTTCATGGACGAAAGCTAGGTATCTGTGTAGTCTGGTGTTTCCTAATCACTCAGGAGGCATTCAGTGGATCAACTGTTGAAATGTTTTTCCAAATCCATCTGCAGTTTCCTCTCTTCTCATGTTAACCTAAGGGTGTAGTTCTGGAAAAGCCACAGCACATTATATTTCTTTTTCTTTTTTTTCTCTCTTTTTTTTTGAAATGGAGTTTCACTCTTCTCACCCAGGCTGGAGTGCAATAGCACGATCTCGGATCACTGCAACTGCAACCTCCGCCTCCTAAGTTCAAGTGATTCTCCTGCCTCAGCCTCCTGAGTAGCTGGGATTATAGGCCAGGCTGGTCTCGAACTCCTGACCTCAGGGTGATCTGCACATCTCAGCCTCCCAGAGTGCTGGGATTACAGGTGTGAGCTACCATGCCTGGCCTTCTTTCTTTTCGTAAGCAGGAATCTCTCCTTTTGATCTGAGTATTATCTCCTTGTTGGAACAAGGGAAGGAGCCCTGGAATGTGGACAGCCAAGAGAAAATAGCAAGTGGGAGTGGATCCGAGGTGTAATTACAGGTCAGAGTTCAGATGGGCAGAGAGAAAGCGTCTCATTAGACAGTGTTTGAGAAACACCCTGCAAATGGCAGAATTTTTGGGGAAAATAAAAGTTTATATCCTGTGATCACTGATAAGAATTTTTTTCCCTACCACTTAATGCTCTGTTCTTTAGATGTGTAAAAGTTTCTCCTTCCAACCTGCAGTGGTGCTACAGCCCAAACAGCAACACATGCAGAGTCTTGATCATGACCTACAACCGTCTGTTACTTGGTTTCTATGAACTCTTGGTTCCTTTCAAAAGGGTTGCTTTCCTCCTTAGTCTCTCCTTCTGTGCTTCATTCAATCAAAAATCCTTATTTTTCTGTCCACAGAGATCAGACGTGAGGCCTCCATAGTTATGACAAGTGCCCCTATCCATATTTTATCCCATTTCATGAGCTTGGAAGATAGAAAACGTTGGCTGCTCCTCCTTTGCACCTGGGGCCCCAGAAACTTCACAGAGCTGTCTTAAGCTTTCTTTGCCTGTTGAGGTCTCAGCTACTTCTCCTATTCCACTTTGCGACAGTTTGTGGATGTGGGTGACAAGGGGAGTGGGTTGATCTTCCGAGATGATTAGCCAAATTGTTAAGTACAA